GAGGGCAGTTTGGCCACTGCAGAGCAAGTGCTGGCAGCTCCTTAAATGGAAGAATTTCTTTTTCCCTGAGGTGCCTGGGTTGAGTGGAGAGATTAGATAACAGGTAGCAGGCTGCTGCCTCTCACCCTGATGCCCTGGTCTCCATTACCTTGTCCCACAGCCATCTCAGAGACAGAAGCCAACTTTCCAATGCCCTCAAGCCTTCCACCAGCCTGTACAGAGCCTGGAATCACAATGACCATCCAACAAGAGGGACTAGCCAGGAAGCCGGGCTGCCCCTATACCTTTTATCTGCTCTGCACAAGACCCACAACTGTGAAATGAAGATAAAACAGCACATTTTACAGATGATAATAATAACAATAGCAAACACATCGCTCTTACTATGTGCCAAGCACCCTAAGCAGTAGGTACTATTATTTACCCCGTTTTACAAAGAAACTGAGAAACAGAATGGTGAAGTAATTCCCAGGCACCCCAACTAGTAAGTGACAAAGCTGAGAGCCATCTGTCTCTAAAGCTTAAATTCTTTGCACTGCATTACAACATGGTGCTTCCTTGGGGTGGGAAGCATGGTAGGGGAAGAAGCTGTACCTAATGCTAGTTTGCCTTTGAGGCCAGGAGGATGAAAGAATCCTCTCTGAGGATGAAAGAATCCTCTCTGACTGGAAGAGAGAGACGGAACTGTAATCTCAATAACACAAGATCCCAACCTCAGCTGCCTAAGAGCCTCTCTCCTGCCAACCCACGGACCAGAACGCTGACTCGATGTGCCATCCAGGGTCAACGCTCTTTGGGGGATGCACAGGGCCCAGCGCACAGCCAGGGCGGCTCATCCAGTCTGCTGAGAGGGGCGTCTCAGACAATGTGGCCTTTCCGGGAGGTGAACCTCCTTTACGTCTCTAATGAGAGCAAAGCCACTGGGTCCTGCCTGGAGGATTGGGCACAGCACCTACAGGGGCTTTCTTAGAGCCCCAAGACAGGACACAGACCACATCACTCCTGGAACCCACCTGGGACTTGGAGGCAGCTCTGGGGATTAGGGGATGGGATGGGGGATAGGGAGGGGGCAGGCCTCGCAAGAAAGGAGTAAGGGCTTCCTCTGGAGCGTTTCAGGGCTGGAGAGGAGTTGGGAGTGGGAGGGGGAGTGAGGAGGAGAAAAGAGAAAAGAGGCGGAGCTGGGGTCCTGGACAGTTAAAGAGAAAAGGGGGAGTACTGGCTGGGAGAGAGTGGCGAGGTAGTGTAGGAGGGTGGGAGAGGCAGGGTTGATATTCCAGGCCCTGGGTGGGAGCAAGGCGACTTTCCCCGCTCGTTCCCGAGATGCTCTTAGGAATTCTCTGCTGTGACATTCTCCCCTTGGGCTGGAAAGTCGGAGCCCGGCCCAGCAGTCTCTGCGCCTCCCCCTCCCTTCCCAGGGGTGGAAGGGGCCAGGAGGCGGGGCCAGAGGAAGGGTTGGGGGATCTGTACCCTGCGCCCCTCCAGTTACCGCCCCACAATCCAGTTGCTAGAACAGATGGGCACAGTCGCGGCTCACCTCGGGGGCATCTTGCCTGATGTGTGCCAAGATCCAGGCTGAGACGGAGATCTTCAGCCACCGGCGCCCCCCTCTCTCCCGCTGGGCGGGGGAAAAGCAGCCGCTGCGAGCCCCCTCATGGGGGGAGAAGAGCGGGCTCTGACCCCACAGGACCTAACGGGGGGTTGGGTGGGCAGAAAGCCTGCTCCTCGAACGGAGCACCCATCATCCTCAGGAGCTTGGCTGGGACTCTTTCTGCACCAAGACCCCTTTCTGGGGCTTTCAGCCCTGGCGCTTCTGGTAAGGGGACCCCCGCCCGGCTGCGCTCCGCCCCTGGCCCCCGCCCCGCCGACGTCGTATTAGCATGAGCGACGCAAGTGGCCGGGGCACCACTCGGGGGCCGAGACTCGCCGCGTCACAGCCCCGAGTGAAAAGCAAAAAAAGAGGAGGAGGAGGAGGAGGAGGCAAGAGCCGGTGCGAGGGGAGGGGAAAGCGGCAGCTGGGCGAGCAGCCGGCGGGCGGGCGGCAGCAGCATGCCCCTCGGCCGGTGCGGGCGGCCTCTCAGCGCAGCGGGGGCGGCTCCGGGCACTCCTGAGGCGCAGCGCGCTCAGATTCAGGCCCAGACCCCTCCACACTCCCGCCTTCCCTGACCACCCCTGAACCCAGCGGCAGAGGGTCCTCGGCTCCGCAACGAACAGCGGCAGCGCCTCCGGGACGGGGTCTTGCCTTTCCCAAGACGCAGGCCATGATCCCTGCAGCCACCTGAAGCACAGGGGGCGCTGCGCGGACCGCGCCCCCGAACTTCTGTGCCCTCGTTGCTGCACTGCAGGGCGCCCTAGCCCACCCCCAGCGGAGGTATCTTTGGAAAAGCGGCCGGGTGAGGGTAATGGAACCAGCAGGCCAGGCCCGGGAGGCAGCCACCAAGCTGTCGGAGGCGGTGGGCGCGGCGCTCCAGGAGCCCCGGCGGCAGCGGCGCCTGCTGTTGGTCATCGTGTGCGTGGCGCTCTTCCTGGACAACATGCTGTACATGGTCATCGTGCCCATCGTGCCCGACTACATAGCCCACATGCGCGGCGGCAGCGAGAGCCCCACCCCGACCCCCGAAGTGTGGGTATCCACCATGCTGTCGCCCACTCCGGCCAATGTCAGTGCCAACGTGGTCAACAGCTCAGAGTCCCCGACGGCCGCGTGGCCTGCCGGATCTGCTTTGAGGCCCCGCTACCCTACAGAAAGCGAGGATGTGAAGATTGGAGTGCTGTTTGCCTCCAAGGCCATCCTGCAGCTGCTAGTGAACCCCCTGAGCGGGCCCTTCATCGACCGCATGAGCTACGACGTGCCGCTGTTCATCGGCCTGGGCGTCATGTTCGCCTCCACCGTGCTGTTTGCCTTCGCGGAGGACTACGCCACGCTCTTTGCTGCGCGCAGCCTCCAAGGCCTGGGCTCAGCCTTCGCGGATACGTCCGGCATTGCCATGATCGCCGACAAATATCCTGAGGAACCTGAGCGCAGTCGAGCGTTGGGTGTGGCGCTAGCCTTCATCAGCTTCGGAAGCCTAGTGGCACCACCCTTCGGGGGCATCCTCTACGAGTTCGCAGGCAAGCGCGTGCCTTTTCTGGTGCTCGCCGCTGTGTCGCTGTTCGACGCGCTGTTGCTGTTGGCGGTAGCCAAGCCCTTTTCTGCCGCGGCTCGGGCGCGGGCCAACCTGCCGGTGGGCACGCCCATCTACCGCCTCATGCTGGACCCCTACATCGCTGTGGTAGCCGGCGCGCTCACCACTTGCAACATCCCCCTCGCCTTCCTCGAACCCACCATTGCCACGTGGATGAAGCACACGATGGCGGCATCTGAGTGGGAGATGGGCATGGCCTGGCTGCCGGCCTTCGTGCCACATGTGCTGGGCGTCTACCTCACTGTGCGCCTGGCGGCGCGCTACCCACACCTGCAGTGGCTCTATGGCGCTCTTGGGCTGGCAGTGATTGGCGCCAGCTCGTGCGTGGTGCCCGCCTGCCGCTCCTTCACACCACTCGTGGTCTCGCTGTGCGGCCTCTGCTTCGGCATTGCGCTGGTCGACACAGCCCTGCTGCCCACGCTCGCCTTTCTCGTGGACGTACGCCACGTCTCCGTCTACGGCAGCGTCTACGCCATTGCCGATATCTCCTATTCTGTGGCCTATGCGCTCGGGCCCATAGTGGCGGGCCACATCGTGCACTCGCTCGGCTTTGCGCAGCTTAGCCTTGGCATGGGCCTGGCAAACCTACTCTACGCGCCTGTCTTGCTGCTGCTGCGCAACGTGGGCCTCCTGACGCGTTCCCGCTCCGAGCGCGAAGTGCTGCTGGATGAGCCACCGCAGGGTCTGTACGATGCCATGCGCCTGCGTGAACGGCCTGTGTCCGACCCAGACGGAACTCCTCGCAGCACCTCCGGTCCATTTGACGATTGCGAGGATGACTATAACGACTACTACACCCGCAGCTAACAGCCCCGCTCCTCTTCCAGGCCACGCACCCACTCCCCACCCCTTGAGTCAAGGTTGCTGCTCTGTGAGAGCACTAGCCAGCGCAGGTTCAGGGCCTAACCCTGCAGGGAGTACCCTAGCGCAAGCCCCAGTCTTAACTTCCCCTGCTCTGGTCCCCTAGCCATGACCCTTTTTGTGTCCCTCTCCCTTTCGTCCAGGGGGCGTGGAGCACGGAGGCATGCAAAAGGATGGGCTTCTGGCACAGAATAAGAGGGGCGCGGGCCTCTACCTCGCGGCCACCCTGTATAAAGATGTGCGTTTGACTGTCTCCCTTTTCGTTCCTCCAAGTGCCAACTTTGCCCGCTGCACAGCGGTGTCCTCGGTCCGAATCAATAAACCATATATGTCCGATCCCACGTCTCTTTACTGATGGGGAGTGGGCGGCCAGGTCAGGGCCAGGACGGAAGGGAAGGTGAGTTAGGTCTAACCCCAATCCAGGTCTCAGCCCGGCGGGCACGCGGGGAGTCTGTGGCTTTTTTGCTACTTAGAAAAGGAAATTCGTACAAAAGAAGCAAACCCAACAAGGTCTCTCACCCACAGACACCCTACCTCATATGACTCCCTCAGCCCGCGACAGCCCCGCCCTCCCAAGCCCAGCTCAGTGCCCCAGGGCGCCGCCTTGGGGAGCCTGCGGACCTGCTCCCTCAGGGTCCGTAGGCCCCACCCCTTGAGGACACGCCCTGCGTTAAACACAGAGCTCTGAGACTCCCGGGCTGGGCTTCCCTTGAATTCCGGCATCCAGGCTCCGAAAAGGAGAAGGAGCCAAGCTGCTCTGGGCGAGGTCCGATCTCCAGAAATATGCGTGTGTGACGTGTGTTCGTTAGAGAACCAGGCTCCATCCTACAGGGAGTCGGGGAACAGTTGTTGGTGTGTCTGCTGCGTCCCTGCCTTACGGGTCGGAGTCGCGACTGGAGAGGGTGCGAGTGCTGGAGCTGGTGCCAAACCCCCACCCCCACCCCACCCCTTCCCAATTCTACACCGTCCTGAGTGGAAGCAGCCGCCCAGAGCCGTCAGAGACGTCTCCCCACTTTGAGTGCGGGTCCTCAGAAGACCCAGGCCCGCGTTTGTGTGCCACTCCCAGTCCTGGAGCCTGCGGCCTGTTGAAGGCCGCAGAGTCCTCCCATTCCGGCGCGCAGTAAAGGTGGCGTGGTTGAGGAATACCTAAGAGTTAGACAACGCCTGAGAGAATCTGCATGGCTAGTGTGTGTACGTTTGTCGTTGGTCTGCATGTGGGTGGTCTCTTATGTGTTTGTCTGGACAGGGTCTGTCTTTGTGAGTCTGTCTGTATGTGTTTGCTTGTAAGGATCTATGTGTGGGCTGGGGGAGGAGTGCTTTGTCTAGGAGAAGTGCCTGCTTCTGGCTGGTGTTTCTAAGCATCCCCAAGTCTGTATCTCTCCCCACCCCCAACAGTGCTAACAGAGGTGGAAATAAAAAGGAGGGAGGACCTGCAGTGAATAACAAAGAGGTGTTATTATTATTAATTTTGAAAGGAGTTGTAGTAGGGTTTGAGCCTGACCTAGACGGTGCGGAGGGTACAGATCTCCCCAGACCTAACTCTACCCAGCGTTCTGCAGATGCAGCCGCTGCTAGGATAATGGATTTGGGGAGCGCGGGGACTGGGGACTGCTGGGCTGGGGGCAATGGGCATGGGTGGGGCAATGTTCTGCATGCCCTTCTCGGTCCTGGATTCTGCTGCCCTTGTGTAAACTGGTCCGAGCCAGGGCAGGGGACCTAGAGGTGGGATCTCGGAAGGCACCGGGAAGTGGCGGGGG